CAGCAATTAGCTATGCTCCTATGGCTATATAGGGTTGGGCAAAAGTAGGTTTATAGTTGTTCTTATGGAAAATAATATACAATAATTAAAATAATAATACAAGAATAACTGTTTTGCATATTTATTACTGTAAACCTACTTTTGCCCCACTCTGTATGCATTTGAATGTGAGAAACTGTACCCAGAAACAGTACACTTTAGCAGCAACTGGCTGTCATTAAGAACAATCACTGTATCCTAAAAAATGAACACTCTTGGAAGAGCAGAAAGCTGTCTTACTCAGAACAAGTAATGTATGGAATTTAATATTTTGTAACTACTCACAGTGTGTTCAATACTATATAATAAGCATATATGCAGAGATACCTCCTTTTCTCCTGAGTTGCTTAAAATAAAGCAGATGTGGGATAAAGAGGTATCAAGTATCTCCTGTGAAGAAGAAATGAGAGCTGTCTGGAGGAAGATGTTTGTTAAGTAATAACTTTCTACTGGAATCTATGCAAGCTGGAATCTCTGTTCTGTAAATAACCAGGTGTGGAAATCACAAATGCCCTAAGATGTCAATTCTGCATATATTTATTGAGAACCTTCTACATACTATGTACTTAACATGATCATAAACACAAAGATGAACCAGGAATCCCAAGTTGTTTCTAGACCAGTGGAAGGTGGAGGTAACTATAAAACAAAGTAGGATAAGTTAAAGACCCTGTGAGTGATTCATAGAGCTTTATAGCTTGAAAGGAGAATGAAATTATTTTCTTTGTAAAGGTCCAGAATGGCTCTGCAAAGGCTATTTCACACATTTGTGAATGTGTGCATTTCTTCTTGGGTGATTGAAAGTGGCAAGAAAGTTGTTTTGCTACACCATTGCTCTGTTTAGTATTTGATACTCTTTTCACCCCCTCTTCTTTCTTAAGAAAAATAATGGTGTGCATTAAACCTTTCAAAGCCTTTAATGGTGATGCTGAGACAATCATTTAAGCATTTAAAATAGACACCACATTTTAAAGGCAACAGTGGTTAGCCACTGGAAACTAACCATTGGGTCTGATAAAGGGGGGAATTTTATGTTATGGTTTATGACAGAGAATGGAAAAATGCTTTAGTGAGACGGGCTGGCATTTTAAATTGGAGCACAATAATAGCAAAAAGTGCTGAAGTCAACAGACTGCTTAGAAATATGGTTACTCTTTGATGAGAGAGGCCTTTCAAAGTGGCCACATACACGCGTTTGCAACCACAGTCAGTTCAGTTCTTCCCTAAACTTGGGACTGTGACCTTGATTGATGTCAGTGAGAGTTATGCACTGGCAGAAAACGGTTTAAGTCATCCATGAATTCAAGGTAAGTACAAAATAGGTGTAACAAGCAACAAGTTATAGTAGACTTACACATTATACATAACTTAGGTTGAAAACCATGCAAAGGTAATGGTGCTCTTCTGAATCTTCTGGATCTGGCTTAAAACATTCTCCTATTTTCCCCAAAGTCATTTCAATACAAATTGATTCTAGTCCACACAACTAAAAGAAGAATTTAAAAAAAGGTAGAATGGAATATGGAAGAGTCTTAGGAAGTGACATTTGATTTATGACTTGGACAATATGAAGGAAATGACCAGAAGAGCTAGAGATGAGAATTCCAAGGAGAAGCATCAGCAAGTGGAAAAGCATCAGAAATGGGTGACCTTGTGCAAATTGCTTGACCTCTTTGGGCCTCATTGTCTTCCTTTATAAAACTAGAGAGTTGGACTAAGTGAGCCCTAAGGAATTTTTCAGCTCCAAAGTTCAGTGAAATGAACACTAGCTAAAATGGGCAATGGGGACAAATAGAGTTTTTTTTTTGTTTTTATTTTTCCAGTTTTATTGAAATATAATTGACATATAACATTGTATTAGTGTAAGGCATCAACATAATGCTTTTATATATATGTATAGATAGTGCAATGTTTGTTTTTAAAGGTAGCATCCCTCTGGTGGTTGAAAGGAATAGGACGGAGACATGGAAAGGGACAAAATGTTGGCACGATAACAATGTCAAATGAAACAAGATTCCATATTAGTGACAGGGGTAGTGTTGGGGAGAATGCTTCTTTCCCATTTCTGATGTTTCCTTTCTTGTTTTCTTCTTAATTACTGTAATGTTCCTGGTCACTTCTAAGCCTCAGGGAGATGAAATGATTTATTCTGGTAAATTTGGGAAGAAGAAACTGGATGTGCTCTGCTCAGCTCAGCTCAGGTCGTCCATTTTGCTTTTGGGCATCAATCCTGACCACAGAGAGCTGTTTTCTTTACTTCTCCAGGCCCTGTCTTACAGAGCTCCTTTTCTGTGAGCTTTGACCTGAGCCAGCATTGCCCATGACCATATGGGTAAATCTTTCAAATCTGGAGATTGGCTCCCTTTGGCTCTCACACTAAACCATGTTCTTCAGTTTAGCCTTCATCAGTAAAAATGGTGATGTTTTGGTTTCCCTTCTCTCATTTCTCAGTATGTTGAGAATTTGGGTGGACAAGAAGAGTGCTATTTATTTGGCCCTTTCATATCCCAAAAGCTGGGATTCAGGGGGAAGGGAACTGGCTTTGGTGAGAAGGGATACTGCTTCCTTGAGTCAGGAGATAGCAATAGTTGTGAAGAACTGGAGATCTCTGAGGTATGGTGGAGCTTCTGAGATTCAAAATCATCTCAGTAAAGTAGGAGACCAAATAATTACCTGGGAATGATTCAGGAGGCATGGAATTGGAAAATTAAGGAAAGTTTAGCATTGCATCTATGGGGAGTATACTCAAGAATCCACTGAAGGGGACCAAAGCATTGCAAGGTAGGATGACAAATAAGATGATGTTAAGAGACTTGGATGGATAGAGCTCAAAGGTAGTCTTGTTCGTTGCCACCAGAGACAAAGTGGTGAAAACTGCCATGTAGAATGTATTTTATTCTCGTTATATTAATTTTCAGAAGTACATGAAGGAATCTGTTAGGGTTGGAATGGTTACATCAGTGCTGTTAAAAATGATAAACTATACTTCTTTGAATATGATAGTTTAGACAGCCACTAAGTTGACCCTTATCTCAGTTGATTTAGATTTTCCTCTTTTGCGTGCGTATGTGTGTTTAGGATTTTTTTTTATTAAGAATTTTTTTAAAAAACCCAATAAACAAAACACTACATGGTAGCAGCCTCAAATACCAGCAGGATAAATTTTTAACGTACATTGTTTTTCCTCACACAGGGCCAATGGCTTTATTGAGAGGTATTATTCTTTATATGACAAGTTTAGTCACTTTCACACAGAAAAGAAAATACCCTGGTGTATTTCCTTTGTCTATTGACTTTTCTAGGACTAAGGACCAGCCTCTCCATGAAGTAATCTCAAACTATTCTTTGCATCCCTGATTTCTCTCAATTTCTACTACCCTAAAAGTCAAAATGTATGTATTAACATGCACAGTTTTTTGGGGAGAGGAATAGTAGGTAGGAGCATAGGATTTGGGCGGGTGATTGTACTTCAACTTGGTGGGGAGGGAGAATAGAATTTGGTAGGTGAATATGAGAGGTGGAAGCCAAGAGCCCTCCAGGTATTGCACATTGCTTAGTCCAGAAAGCAAGGAAGTGTGGTGCCTGGTCAACTTCAGGGAGTACTGTGTTGAGCAGGCCCTTGGCTCGAGGACAAGGATGCAAAGGGAGTGTGGTTTCCATGAGTGGGAAAATAGCACAAAAACAGATTGTGCAAAGCTGCAGGAAGCCAGATTTTTTTTAGGTCGGGTGAGATTTTGATGAGGGAACATCCTGTGGAGAGGTAGAAAATGAAAATTCAATGGAGTTGATTGCTGGAATGAGATTCTAGGAGGAAGGGAAATAAGAGTCTGGTAGACATGCAGGTAAGGTTGGAAGAGAATTGAGGAGGAGCTAGACAGTGATAAGGAAGGGCTCAACTTTACTTGAAAAGTCAAGCAAGTAATTTTTGTAGTTGATAGAAGAATACATCCTGATATTGATAAATACAAGAATTATTTTAAGTATACCTACTCTGCTAGAGTTTTTCTCTTCTGTTTTTGGTAAAAGAATAATAATATAGAAACAGCATATGCTGAAAGAAATTAGGTATATAACAGGGACTGAAATAATGTCAAAAAGTTTTTTTTTTTAGCCAGATTGCTATTATAAAATAAGAATACATTTTGATTCAGAACTTTTATGAAGAACTTGGGCATTTTATTACAACATCTGTTTCTACATTTTAATTTCTCCCCTTACTTTTTTATAGATATTTGCGTACTTTTTTTTTTCAAATGAGAAGAACTTTTTGTTTGCCACAAGAAGGCTATTATCCAGAATGTTAATGGGTTTTCAGCTATTAAGATGTAATGATATACCTTGAGTATTTAACTATAAATTTGAAAAATCTCCATGAACAATCTCAGAGGAATACTTAGAATGCACTCCTGGTAAATTGGCTCATTTTCCTGTAATTTACTGGAAGTACTGATATGAGAGCAGTCCTAATGTGAAAAGTACATTAATCCCTGGAGTTACATTGTATGCATTAAATTATTACTCTCAAAGAATAAAATGTATGAGGCCATTTAGCCTTCATTCACATTTGTTATTTAGAATCACAGTAGAGAAACAATCACTTATCTTTTGATGCACAAAATTAGAAATGATACATTTAATATATTTTAAAAACAAGAAGTACAGTGATGCTGTTAGGCTTTTGCATAACAATTGCTCTTTTCCAAAACAAGTACTGTTCTAGTTAGAAGCAGGTTCCTTCTGTCTGTGTGGAGGCCTCTTTCTTTCAGTTGGTAATTGAAATATTTTTAGAAACCCATAATGCAGCTTTCTTTGATGTCAGTCACAAAGATTAGTCTGCCTTCTAGCCATGAGCTTCTACCACATTTAAGGAGGTAGTCAACTTGCAGGAGCAGTGGCTGCAGGAGCATTTAGGGTCTTAGAATTTTGTCTAATTGTGTTTTTCTTCTTTTCTTCTTTGCCAGGAGACGAAAGTTGTGGAACCATAATTCGTGACATCAAAGGTTTTGGTTTTTGTTTTGTTTTGTTTTTGTAGACAGTCATTATGAGTCCAAGTGATAAAGGCAGATAGAAAGGCCCTTCTGAGATTTTAACAAAGCTCTCAACGACCTACACCATGGACATAAAGCTGGACCCTTCTCAAGATGACTTGCCTCTCATGGCCAACACCAGCCACATACTTGTGAAGCACTATGTACTGGACCTAGATGTGGATTTCAAAAGTCAAATCATTGAGGGCACTTTAGTGCTTTTCTTTCAGGCTGGAAACAGATACAGGAAAAAGAGTGGTTCCACTGAGGAAACCTGCCCGTCAGAGTCGAATGAAGTCTGCAAATTTAGGATGCCAGAACCCTGCCATGTTCCTGTGACAAATACAAGGACCTTCTCATCTAAAATGAGATGCAATGATTTTGCAATCTGTGGTAAAGGTGAAAAAGAGGCTTCCGGTAAAGATGGTAACCATGACAACGGGGAACAGGCTTCTGGGATTTCTAGCTCAAAGTACTGCTATGACACAGGGAATCATGGGAGTGAGGATTTTTTGCTAGTGTTGGACTGCTGTGATTTATCTGTGTTAAAGGTTGAGGAGGTGGATGTTGCTGCTGTGCCAGGTATTGAAAAATTTACAAGGTCTCCTAAGCTCAGGGTTGTTTCTGAGCTCAGGAATCAGATTGTGCATGAACTTGTGACTCTGCCTGCACATCGTTGGAGGGAGCAGTTAGACTATTATGCTCGCTGCAGCCAGGCTCCTGGCTGTGGGGAACTCCTGTTTGACACTGACAGTTGGAGCTTACAGATCAGGAAGACAGGGGCTCAGACAGCTACTGACTTTCCTCACGCCATAAGGATACGGTACAGAACCAAACCCCAGGGGCGATCAATTACATGGACCTCAGACCAGAGTGGCAGGTAGGTATTGGGTATTCTGCAGCCCCCTGTCTGTTGATTTAATACACTGGGAGATGAGCCGTTGCAGGAATGCTCTCAGACAGGGGGCAAACTCTGCAAAGATGCTGCTATTTATTCTGTGGCATTACCCATCCAACCCCAACTCCTTAGACCCACAGTGAAGCAGGTAAATCCCCAAGAATGCTCACCTCTTAATAGGATTACTTCCCTTAAGTCAGGATGAAAAGGTTACTTTATTAAGCCCCCATATTTCTGAATTAGGAGATTGAAAGGCAAGCCTAATGATTAAATCCCGACTGTACGTCTCTGTTAAGATCTCTGTTGGCAACTTCCCTTCTGTAGATGGGCGTGATATGTGCCTCTCAAAGTTCCTTTGGATTCCCCCTGAGGGAGTAAACTGCTGCCAACTTGGGTTGGTGTGAAGCCTGGCAGAGTGCTTCCAAATTAAGCCATCTCTGCTTTGGGACTTTCTTACTGTCCTGTGTCTTGGCAGCTGTGCCTCCCTGGACTTTGTCTATACTCATAACATGAACCTCCAAAGCCTTCAAAAGGTTTACTGTGGGGCGTATGAGAGCCCTGCTGATTGTATACCTCGGAGACTCCTAGTTTGTAGTGTGGGGAGAAGGAACTGATGAGGTGTTGATTTCTGGGGGATATATTTAAGGAATCATTTGTTCTTCTTGTCCCTTGTCCAACAGTTGTTGAGGATTTTTAGAATTCGAGAATTTTTAAATCAAACTTTATTGATCCCTTATTATTGAACCAATTTTTTTGTGCTAATGTACTACAAATCAATATGGTAATTATTGCAGAAGCTGGGGGATTGTCGATCTCTGTGAGCTAGTTTTGAGCACCTTCTTTTGTAGCATTGGACTCCCTTAATGGAGACAGTGTTCTTGGTAAATTGCTTACATCTTTCCCCAACACACCCCCAAAAAAACGTTTAGATTTTTTTAAAGTATCACTTTGACTTTGAACTCTAATTACCCTGTTTCTTGCCTCTAATCTTACCTCCTGCTCTGGTCTTCTGTCCTGCTTGGAATGAGTTCACTTCCTGTCTCGTTTCTGCGAGAGTCTGAGTTTGGGAAATTGCAAGGTTGATACAAACTTGCATCAGTACAAAAGCATAGTGGTTTATTTATAGAATAACTTGTTAGATATTCTTGGGAGACCATGAAGGGAAAGAAACAGGTGTTCTTATTGTAACCTCAAAGTTTTTTGTTTTCTTGAGATTATTAAAGATGAGGTTTTCAATAAGATTTAGCTATACTGTCTCTGAATACCTTACTAGGAAATTATAGTTTTTATATTCACAGATATTTAATTTTTGAATTGAATAATGGGGAAGAAACTATTCATAATATTTGGAAGAAATACTCACTAATGGCCTCAAACATGTCTTTCTTTTCAGTGCTTGCTGCAAATAAAGAGAGTAGATTTGTGAATTGCATTACCTGTAAAGTGTTGAGTAGGAATGGATTAATGCTGGTTTCCATAAGGAAACTAAAGAGTTCCTTGGGCACAACTTGCTCCTGCAAAGGCTGACTTGATGAATTTATTCTTGATATCTCCTTTTCTGATAATTCAGTAAAACACATAATCATAGCAGGAGTTTAAACTGTATCCTTGGAAATTTGTGATTATATGTCAGTAAAGAAATGACATTTATGCAGTCATACAAGGTTAATCAATTTTTTTTTAAATAATCATCAAAAGATGTTTTTCCTCCTCCTTTGGGAGGGGATTTTATTTAAGATTATCTTCCATGAATGGCCACCAAATCTTTGTAAACTCTGTCACATTCTTAAAAATGAATCTAGATACATACTGGTAACTGTCTGAATACTTTAAGGACTTTAAAATGCTCAAGGACCCCAAATTGCTAGACAGAAATAATTCCTTAGTGATATGAGTGAATAGTAATTATCAGGGTTACAGTGCTTTATGAATATAATTGTGTGAAAATATAAAATTTTACAATCATGTTAAAAATATAACTGGGTAGAGCTTATTTCCTTCAATTAAAACTTAAGTAGTTGTTACATTTTTACCCCTAAATGCAGAGTACTATTAATATACCTACCATAAATTCTTAGTCCTGGTTGAGAAGCTTTTTATTCTCATTTCACAGGTGGGAAAATTGGATAAAGTTACTGGAAGCTCCTAGAAAAATCCCTGTCAAATTGTGAAAGAGAGCTACATTTCTTACATTTGATCTTTACCATGTCCTTTACTGTATGTAAAGATTTTAGTACATTAAAAAAATTAATGCATTATGTCAGCTTTCAATAAATTTTTATTTCAAGCTGATATTAGACAGAAACTTAAGTAACTTCTAAATTGTTTTTTTTTCCTTTAAATTTCCATCAGTGGCTTCTCCCCTTCCTACCCTCGCCATACCCCTTGTCAAGAATAAAACTTATGTTGTTTTATTATATAAATAAATAATCATTTAGGAGGTCAGAGGGACCCAGGATAGAATATGAAATGTGACAAATCTAATTACATTATAGTATGTGAAACAACCTCACTGAAGAGGGAAAGGAGAAAAGATGCTGACCTAAATAACTTTGGAAATGTGTGGAGCCTGTAAAGCTAAAGGCAAAAGGAACTGTACTACAGCTGATAAAGTCGATAAGTCATGTTGATAGTATGTACCCTTGGTATGATGCCTCCCAAACCATAACCCCAGTCTAACAAAGGGAAAAATAAGGGACATTCAACAAAATATCTTACCAGTACTCCTCAGATCTCTCAAGTTCTGCATAAAGAAAGTCTTAAGAAATCCATAGCCTAAGGGGATATGATGATTAAAACTAATATAGTATCCTGGAACAGAAAAAGGACATTAGAGAAAAACTAAGGAAATCTGAATAAAATTTGGACTTTCGGTCCAGATAATAATGCATCAATATTAGTTTATCAACTGTGACTAATATAAGATGTTAATAATAGGGAAAACTTGGTGCGGGGTATATGGGAACACTGTATTTTTGCTCTTAAGATTTTTTAAAACTGTTCCAAAATAAAAAGTTTATTTAAAAAAAACTTCAAATTTGGAAAGAAGTCACCATCTTTCCACCCTGAAATCCCCCTTTTGTAAGGGCTCTCCTCCCATTTTTACCAAGTGGCAGTGTTCTCTAGAGAACTGAAAATACATTTGAAGCTATGAAAGTATATTCCTTTCAGTAACTGTCCACAATTTCTTCTTTCCCATTATTATTCTAGTTCTGGATATATAAAAGCTACATTTTCCTACCTTTGTTTAGCCATTGTGGGGGTTGTGGCAGCTTTTGAACTGAAATGCTCTTTCTTGCCTCCATCGTTCAGATACTAGATTTTAGTGACATTAAAAAGTGAGTGATGAAGCAGCACATATACAGGGGTCCGGTGGAAGTAAGGCCTGCTGGAGTGTGGCTGGGAGGGTAATAACATGGGTGTAATAATTTATAGTTTTAATTTGAACATTTTACCTAAAATGTCATATGGTGTGCTTGAGTGTGATATTGTTATGTTACAGAATTATATGTTTATGATTTTGTAATAAAACATTTTGTAATAAAAAAAGGGGCATTATTTGTGCTGGACCCTGTATAATAATCTGATACAAGCTGGCCCTTGGAAACAATCTACTTTGTGTGGTGTATACCCTTTATAAGTATTTTGAAGAACTGCTTAAGAACAGGGACAAGGTCAAGAATGTGTAGAGGTATTCTTGCTAAGTTAGAATGAAGGGGGCTTAATATCTTTTTGATTCTAGGTTCTTAACATACCTAAGAAAAAGCTTTCAAAACTAGACATCTTTATTCAAAGTTTATGTACTTTCTGCATTCTCCCACATTTTTTCCCCGATTTCACTGAGTAAAATATTAGTTAAAACCAAAGCATTCTGTCTGGTAACCCATTCCTTTTCCCTTAGCATCATTAAAATAGTTGTGGAACCAGCCAAGTAGTCTAGGAGATCTGGGCTTAAGCTGATAACATCATGGAACATGAGTTGAATGGAAGGGAAATTCGGTTAAATATAGCAAATTTATTTTTAAAACTACAAGTATTTAGATCATTGTTAAAAAAACTGATTAGGAAAATACACTAAAAGTAATATTAAAATTTTAAATTTCCTTAATCACCATGATGTTTCTTTGTTTTAGACAAGGCCAAGATGAAGTTGGCAAAATACAAAGGAGAGTGATTTTTTTTTTCCTGTTCTATTTATTGCTCAGCCATTGGACCAAGAAAGATGTAGACTTTTGGAATATTTTTATTTGACATCAAAACCAGATGTTAAAACATGTTTTCTCCCCCACTAAAATAGTTTCATTGTTTTATATCTCACTGTAAAGGAAAGTTTTAAAATTAAAGAATGAGCAGATCTTTCAAAGAGACTTTAGATCTAAAAGGAATATTTCTACAAGTAATTTTTTTCTTATTTGCTTCCAGAAACCAATACAAAATTCATGAGAACCAAACTGGAAATGTACATTAATTCTATAATATTGTTATATAACTGCAAAGGAGGAATCAAGAATTCCAAACTTGAAAATGTTTGGAGGAGTCCTACGTTATCCTCTTTCTCTCCTTGCTGCATACTCTGGGACCACTTCCGTTTCCCAGAATCCCACTTGAGTCATGGGAGAAAAGTCAATGTACTGTCTTAAGTAACCAAAATTACCAACCAAACCAACAAAAAAAGAATAACCAACATCAATAGAAAATACCAGAACACAACAAACTATAACCAAAAGCATAGATGTTGGAGAGAACCTGGAAGGTGAGAGCCAAGAGACCTGAGTACTCCTCAGAGCTATGCTGCCAACTAGCTGTGTGAACTTCAAATAAGTCATTTTACATCTCTGGAGCTTAATTTTCTCATGCATAAAATGAGAAGATTCTATCTGAGGATCTCAAAATGTCTTCTATATATAAAATTATTTATTCACAAGGGACTTACAGATGAGAAATATTGTCTTTGGTTTTATAAGCAGCTTGCCTATTTTACA